GTCCCTAGTCTCCTCCTGTTGTCAGTTATGGGTATCACATGTAACAGTGCTCACTTTTCTTTGTATGAGAACTAGCAAAACATCCTCACGATAAACTTAGATCCTAAATTTAGAGCTCAGACTTTTGGCATGGAGCGGTTTGTTTCTTAATTATCTGACAGTTATTGTAAATAAATTTTTTCTTTTAATTTCCTTTTAATTCGTTGTGATGGATTCCTTTACAAAGCTCACACAGTTATGCCCACATATTACTCCGCAATGCATTCTGCTTATTTACACATGTTCACTGGGATACAACCTTCAAGAAGTTTAAGATAATATAAGATAAAATGTAGTTTATGTATCCCAAAATGTACCCAAAGTTGGATTTTAAAAAAATTTGTTACAGAAGCTAAATAGAAAGTATGGAGCTAAATAAAAATGAACCAAAATATGAAAAAAATAAGGTAAAATCTAATCTGAAAATCAAGATAAATTAAGTCAAAAATTTAAACAAATATATTCCTAAAGCAGAATTATGTCACATTCAACAGAACAGCGAAACAATATTAAAATGGCTGAGTGTAGTAAAAACAGGGTACCAAATATTAGATAACATTAAAGTGGCTTAGCAAAATAGTGTATCATGCTATTATTTATTACTATTATTCTCTGTGAAGGTTCTCAGTCATCCAGGTCATCGTAGTCTAAGGAGCTTGGAAAGAAAAGCGTCTGGACTTCTTTGAGTTGCTTGAAGACGTTTCACCTCTCATCCGAGAAGCTTCTTCAGTTCTACGTCTAAGTCGCTTTTCTTTCCAAGCTATTACTATTATTATTTGTATTTATAAAGCACCATATGACTATTGCTTGTTCTAAACAGTAGAAGCATTTTAAGAAAATATATAAAATATGTGGAAGGTTTTTCTTTCTGTGATTCATTCAACCACTGTACAGCTTTCAGCTATAATCCAGCTTTTGTGTTTTTAGGTTTTAGCTGCCACATCAGTGTTAGCTAAAGTCTTTGTTAGTGGGGAAAATGACAGTTTACTTTTTATCTTCTACAACAAACTGCGCTATTTATACACCTAAATGCTTGCAGGGTCCATTTTTAACCCACTAAGATAAAAATAGAGCACAGAAGAGGCTCCTTTAATGCGACATGTTTCGCAATGTATCATGGGAAACATAGGAGGACCTTCCCAGTCGTGCTTCTGCTGCTGGTGTCAAATCTTGCTTCGTGTATGGGCTCTGTGTATGTAAAAGACAGCTGACACAGCGCCTAAACTCTCGCGAAATTGGCAACAAATCTGACCAAAATGCTGAGGCTTGGCTATTTCCGGGTCATGGACAGGCCGCGGTGGACAGGACGAAAGGCGGAGTGATTACTAGAGAGGCTTTGCTGGCAAGTGAGTCACTATCCAGCTGTTGCTAATCACCTCAGTGCATGTCTGCAGAAGCTAACCGCAGCTAACTAGCTTGGTACTGCCCGACAGCCCCCCTTCCCCGGTCACATGAGACGAATTTGACCGAAGAGAGGATGGCGGAGCGGGATATGCCGCCGGGAGATCTTCCTCTGCGGTCTTCTCCAGAAAGTTCCGACAAACAAAACTCCTCCGATGAAAACGGACACACTGACAGCCCGGACGAAACTCTCTCCCCGACCTCAGTGATTTACTTCAAGGAGGCTTTAAACTCGTCCAACCTGCGCTTCGCAAAGGCTGGATCGCTGCCGCCCGCTCCGCTTCGACAGTATGACTTCCAGATTGAACGAATCGAATCGAGGCGACGAAGTAAGTGCTGACCAACTTCAAAAAGTACACCTTTCCCTGACAGCTAACACTAGCTTCCTAATACACTGAGAATACCAACTGTAACGCTGCAGTTTGTGCTGCTAGCATTGTTGGCTAACTTTCCAGCGTCCGTAAACAAACACCTTGCTGACACACGAACTCAGTAAAGTACCAGGAGTTATCGGAGCTAAAGCTGGGGAGAGGATAAGCTACATCACATGATTGTTGACTCTCAGCCTCAGATTTCTGTCTGCAAAGTAAAAGCCGCTGTGTGTTCATCTGTGTTGTTTCTCGGCTAATGTGTCAACATGTGTCATGTGTTTTGACAGGCTTGGTTGACTCACCTTGCTGCTGGTTATTGTTGTTGTTGTTGTATAGATTTATCATTTATCTGATTTGGAGCTGCAGAAAGTGACCTCCTGGCTCCTTTCCTAACCACTTGAAAAAAAAGTAGAATTCCTAAGGAGTTTTTAAGGAAAATAAGATCGCTCAGAGAATCCAGCTGCCCTCACACCAGGCTGTTTAATACTGTGACAGTGAGTGTTGTTTACATGGGTCTGCTGTGTTGAAACTATGCCTCAAAGATGTACTGCAGATGGCTCATCTTTGATACCTCCTCTAGTGTCTTTGTGTCGTCTTTCATGCAATTAATACAGAAGAAAACTATCACTTCCTTCCCAATGTCCGAATTAAATAATAAAAAGGATGAAAACTTTCCAAATCCTTCCATCCAACTTCTGATACTTATCTGGGTCTGGGTCACGGGTGCAGTAGCCTTCTTTCTCCCCAGCAACCTCCTTTAGCTGTTCTGGGGGGCATTGAGACATCCCCAAGCTAAATGAGAGACATAATCTCTCCATTATCCCTCTTGGTCGCCTCTCAGTAGGACGTGCCCCGAATACCTCTAACTTTGAACCTTTTCTGAATGACCAAGCTCCTAACCCCCTCTCTAAGGGAGAGCTAAGGCACCTTTTCAATCGCTATCTAAAGCTGGTGGTTATAGGTCAGGGGGGGATGTAGCTCTACCAGTAAATTCACAGCTACGCTTTCACGTTCATATCCACAACACTGGTGATGTTGCATCAGTCCATCTTTCAACGTCCTGCTTTGTTCCTCCCTCACTCATTAACAAGACGATCGAGATATTTGAGCTCCTCCACTGGAAGGTACATCCCATCCCCAACCCGGAGTGGGTATTCCACTCTTTGGTTCTCTGTACTGTTAATATTTATTAACATGATGAGCATCACTTAAGGCTCATGTTGATGATTTAATTTTGTGTGCTGTGATGAGCTTCTGGGTGGTGTTGTGTACTTTCCTTTCATAAAGGGATTGTCCAGTGTGTCCTCTGTTAAAAGAGGTAATAAAGGAAGCATTCAGACACCTTTCTTTAGTATTTACAGGAACTCTTAAAAGGAGTGGATGTATGTCTTATAGCTCTTATTCTGGCTGCAGATACTTTAGGGTCACTTAATTCAGTTAGAAACCTTCCTGAGGTATTGAGTCTTTGACTGATCCTGTCGTTGGTCGTGACAGAGTTGCTAACCTGTTGTTAAAATACCTGTTTGCTTTCACATCTTCATTCTCTATCAGCACACAGGTCTCTGTGGCATTTAAGATATATAGATCCTTTTTACTTTTAGTTTCCAAAGCTCTTGCAGAGAGACCTTAAATAAATGAAGGCAATAGGTCAGTAATGTCTGTCCATAACGTTACAGTATAAAACTTGAGTAGCATCCTATTCTTAATTCATCGGCTTTAATACTATGTTGGCCCACCCTTTGCAGCTATGAAAGCTGGAACTCTTCTAAGGTTTTCCACAAGGTTTAGGAGTGTTTATGGGGATTTTTGATGGTGGTCTCACAGTCTCCCCTCTAATTCATCCCAAAGGTGTCCTATCAGGTTGAGGTCAGGACTCAGTGCAGGCCAGTCAAGTTCTTCTACACCAAACTCTCTCATTCATGTCTTTGTGGACCTTGCATTGTGCAGTGGTGTGCATTCATGTTGGAACAGGAAAGGGCGTTCCCCAAACTGTTCCCAAAATGCCGAGAGCATGAAGTTTTCCGAAATGTCTCGTTATGCTGAAGCGCTAAGAGTTCCTTTGGGCCAAGTCCAGCTTCTGAAAAACAGCCCCCGGCATAATCATAGAAACACCTCTAAACTTTACACTTGGCCCATTACACTCAGACAAGTACCACTTTCCTGGCAAACGCCAAACCCAGACTCATCCATCGCAATGCCAGACGGAGAAGTGTGATTCACCACTCCAGAGAAAATGTGCCCAATCCACTAGAGTCTAGTAGTATCCTTTATACCACCGCATCTTACATCACTCGGTGATATAAGGCTTGGATGCAGCTGCTCAGGGATGTAAACACATTCCACGAAGCTCTGTGTGCACTGCTCTTGATCTAATCTGAAGGAACGTGAAGTTTGAGGTCCTACCGATTAACTCTGGAGAAAGTTGGCGACCTCTGTGCACTATGTGCCTTAGCATCTTTAAGCTGCCCCCAAAATACCAATGCAACATAGTAGAGAGGTTCAGTTTGGTTACGCTGTAGTCACCTGTGATCAGATGGCTGTCAATCAAAGTAGAAAGCGTATAAAATAATCGTCCCCATAAAGTTGTTACAATATGGAAACTAAGCTGTTTACTGTACATGTTTGTTTCTGCTGTAAAACTGGAGGTTTTAACACATCTGTGAGGATTGACTCACTTTTCTAGCCTCATGTGAACATTAAAGCAACTGCAGTTTTTGACTGTATTATACTGAACACATGCCGTTACTTTCTAAGAGAAAACAGAGGTTCGTTTCAGACAAACAAAGCAATCGATTAAAAAAAAAAAAAAAAGTGAAAACTTTCTCAATTAAATTTGTCACATGTTTATTTTTGTTGCCCTCTGATGGCACGGAGTGTCATCCTCTAAAGATGATCTGATTGTCAATATCCAGCTCGATGTTTAAGGTGTTAGGCCCAGGGTACCAAAAAGGGTGGGGGAATTAAAAAAAAAAAAGGCCCCCCCCTAAAACCGGGAACCTTGGCCCTAAGCGCACTTCATGCTCACTGCTGCTGCTGTTTTTCTGCTGCAGCCAGCTGACAGGCCTGTGTTCGAGACTGGGAGGAGGGGGGATGTTGTTGATGCTTCAGAGAGACACAGGCCCTCTGCTGCATCATTAGCCTTGGTTGGTTACTCCGGGGACCCCCCTCCCCCCCTTATTTTAGCTTCTTTTTTTTTACGCATGCACCATCTGCTCACGTGACAATGTGTTGCTGTACCCAGCGCTGCCGTCAGCCATCTTGGTCAACACCCACCCAGTGCATTCACTGCGGTGCGCAGGCAGTCCAATCACAGAGAACCGGTGCTAAGCTGACCGGAGGAGGGCTGTGATTTTTCAGCACGGTGCTCTCTGTTGCATTTTAAATCCCCAGTCGGCACAAAAGGCGATAACAAGAGGCTGAAGAGGAGGAGGCGGTGGAGGAGTAGAAGGCACAGACAGCAGCCTGTTTCACTCAGTTGTAGCAAGGAGGAGAGGAGGATGCATGCATAAAGAGGAGGAGCACCCTTTCTAACACCTGCTGAAGGCTGCTGTGGGCCTTTCCCGTCTTGTCCTTTTTGTTTCTTCCTCTGATTCTCTTTTCATCTTTCATCCTCTTGTTTTTCTGGCCTTCTCTGGCTGTTGGAACGCAAAGCTCCTGCATCTTTTGTACCTCCCCCCTCCCTTTTCCCCTTCGGTGGTGTTGGTTTTGCCTCGCACAAGCTGAGTCATCATGTCTGATCTGACGCCTCAGAGCGAAACCCCGACTCCCACCACAGACAAGATCACCCAGGCTGCCAGGGAGACCATTTATCTGTGCAACTTTCGCGTCTCTGTCGATGGCGAGTGGCTGTGCCTCCGCGAGCTCAACGACATCTCGCTCACGCCAGACCCCGAGCCGGTCCATGAAGGTAACGTGACAGATTAGCTCAGCGTTTGAGGAAGTGTTTGTGAGCACAGTGCGATATGTGTTAGGGCGTGGTGGTGTGCATCGCGGACACCAGAAGCAACATATTTCACCTGGTGAACGGTGTGAGCTGTGTCACGACGGGTTTGATTTCATTGAGGGTTACGCAGCAGGATGACGCCACTTATAAATAAGCCAGGGGCGGACAACAAAGCAGCCAGGTCCTGCTGGGAGGCTTCAAGTACTTGGTAGCTGTTGCTCCTTACAGAAGATCCCAGTTGCACAGAACAAACATGTTTGTGTGCTGATGATTTTCATTTAGTTTCTCCCACTGACAAAGCGGAGTGCAGCCAATTATAGATTTGGCAGCAAACACAAGCCTGACTGTAAACAGATATCTATAACTGTGTGCTCTGTTTTTATTGTTTTAAAACTGCCACACCTACTCTCAGCACGAGCAGGCCAGCTGGCAGCCACTCGTAGGCAGTTCAGTTGGCAAATGAAGCGCTGCAGCTTTCAGCCTACACCGCTGAAGAGTCCACTTTAATGACATTACAGAAGCCCATTAACAGACAACAGAAACATCTGCTTTAGGCTTTAGTTCTCTCTCCTCTTCACTCACTTTGCATAGGTTTCTGAGGTTCTTGTTATTGATAACGACAACATGCACAAGTTTGTTGCTTAAATCTATCATAGCACTGGTAGTGTCAAACCTTTTTATGGGAGACGTGGCAGTATTTATTTTAATGTTCATACAGTTTATCCACATGGCTTAATTTAACAAGCTGGGTAATCATTTCCATCCTGTTGAACATTTTCTCAGACTGATTCAGATCCACAGGGACAGATACAGGACATCTTATATTTTAAACATATGCACATAATATTTTTATTGTATAATAACTGTTCATGATATGTTTATTGTTATTGTTATTATTATTAGTAGTAGTAGTATTGTTATTATAGACTGTATAAAAAGATGGATGTAGCCAGCGTGACGTCACATATTGGTTGGCGAGATCCTGCCATGTGATTCCACCACCGCTCTTGGTGGTTTTAAAAACTGGAGGTAACAAGTGAGGGCTGGATCTGAAGCTGAGGGACACTGCACACTTATCAGCCACACAATAGAGCATGCTCTGCTTTAGCCACCTTTTTAAGTCTTCATTGTAACATTAAAACAAATGAACTTCATGTTGTATTTACTAAGACCTGAAACTTGTGATATGTCCCATAAGGTTGTTAGAGAAAGAAAGATAAAGGAAGGTTGTTTTCCTACAGACACGTACAGAGTCAACGACCTTATTACAGCCGCTGGTATCGCCCCCTGCTGGCTGCATTAGGAAGAATGCAGCTTTAAGGAGCTAAAGCGTTGGCGTCACTTTTCAGAGGTGGAAGCTTATGGATCTGTAGTTTCCACTGAAAGCGTTATAAAAGATGGACACTTTCTTCTTCTTCTTTTTTTAATTCTTTTTTTAAACAATTCAGATTGACACATGGGGGGAAAAAACCCAACGATAAATGACAAAGCTTGGCTCTTTGTTTCTGTCGCTGCAAAGGAAAACACCAGATAGAGATGGTGGAGAAAATGGTTTTAATCAAGCAGACCAGTAACTGCTATAAAATACCCAGATAAGTCACGCCGTCCTCCTGAACCAGCTCAGTATTTCTCAGGGTCTCGTTGTTTAGTTGCCTCAATTTTTTTCCCAGTTTTCTCCAATTTTCTATTTTACTTTCAGCATTAACATTATAATACAAATTTATACAGTTTTAATACCAGCATGCCGAGGATCTCTGCTAATTTGTTTACATTTTGCGTTAGAGAATAAGATGAACATGCTAATGTAAACTTTAAATGTGTAACTGTATTAATAATGTAAACAAATCTGCAGGGCAGCATAGAGCACCTCCACTAAAAGCCTCTCTGTGTTAAATGCTGACATAAATAATAGATCAGGCGTGCAGAACGAGTGGACTGTATTAAACTTTCACATTCTCTTAATTGAGACAATTTCTCTTGCAGACACATTTTATAGTTTATATTAAAACTGTATATAATCTTCAGATTTACAAGGTTTTTCACAGTAAGTCCTGGAGTTTGTCTTCCTTTAGCTATTTGTAATGATGGAGTCTTTGCTGTCTTGCTGTGTATTCTTTATTTCACCTTCCTGGAAACTGACTTTTTTAAAATTTCTGTTTAAGAAATACAGAGCTGACTTTCAAACGAGTTTAGTTCCTGATTTATTTGTGCTGTTAAATTCTGAAGGTGAGAATTATAAGTCTGTTTCCTTTTCTCCGTCTTTTAGATCCCAAGGATCCCATCGCAATCGAGAGGCTTAACTTGATGAACATGGCCAAACTGAGCATCAAGGGCCTGATCGAGTCTGCGCTCAACCTGGGACGCACGCTTGACTCTGACTATGCACCTCTGCAGCAGTTCTTTGTCGTGATGGAGCACTGTCTGAAACACGGGCTGAAAAGTAAAAACTGCATTCGTGTTGTCTTTTATAACTCCTTACAGTTTTTGACAGTGAGATGGGAGAGATTAAAATGTACAGCTGACATAGCTGTAAGGAATATTTAGTCTTAAACTCCTGCTTTAGTTTCCTTTTAACTGTATTGAGGCCAGTGTGTTTTTGCTCTTTCTGTATGCACGCTCTCAGTCTGTCCGTCTCATCGTTGTCTGTCAATCTTCAGCTAAGAAGACCTTCCTGGGGCAGAACAAGTCCTTCTGGGGACCATTGGAGTTGGTTGAGAAGCTGACGCCTGAGGCAGGAGAGATCACTGCCAGCGTAAAAGACCTGCCCGGGCTCAAGTGAGTTTGTTCAAAGTTTCCTACAAAAAAAGGCTCTTCTGCTTGGATTTTAATTATGTCATCTGAGCTTTAAACAATGCCAGAACGCGGCTAGCTGCCTTAATCTTGTAAAGGCTGTTAGTGTGTGCAAATCTCACTCTTCCCATGTTTGATACCAGAACTCCTCTAGGAAGAGGACGCGCCTGGTTACGACTGGCCTTAATGCAGAAGAAGCTCTCAGACTATATGAAGACCATCATCAACAGAAAGGACCTGCTCAGGTGTGTTTGGATCGTAATATTCACAGAGGCGAAGACTTTATGTGAACAGATGAATGTGGTGTCTCTTGTTGACCACTGCAGCCACAACATCTATCAGTTGGCAGCACAGTCATTAATTATA